AACAGATTGTGAATGCTCATTACTATATAACGTATATAGTTTCTTTAACTTCTGTCGCCTACAGAGCCAACGTAGCGGTCGAAGGAGTGCGCTATCCACGGAAGACATAAACGATCCAGCCGTCAGTAGTCTCTTGAGCTTACACGATGGTTCGAGCAAAGCATCCAAGACGAGGTCATCTTTGGCGAGAAAGTCGGGTATCTTCTCTAACGCCTCGAAAACGGTAAGCTCGTGTGATCAAAAAGAAATTTTGTTGTAGTTTAACAAACGCACATCCAAGTTTTCTGATCTGTTGTAGAGGATCGCATCCCGTTGCTGTTACAGAAACGCTCTCTGCACTTTGGGGTCATGGGTGCGTCATAAGCGTGATGGTCAAGTCCCGCTATTTGATTAAAGTAGTACAAGAGTTGGCGGTGGGTACTGTAGTGCTGAGCGATTATCACTTTTGCATGTCGCTTATATTGTCGACTCGAAATTTATAAATAATTATCGAATATTCTACCTAAATCGTCTTAATAAAGAAAAACAAAAGGCACAGACACAAGTTTCCTGGTTAAATATATTTATAATCGACAATTAATAATGGATCGCAACTAGAGCAGATCAGCACAAATATAAAACTATAGGGCCACTCAGTAGAGCACATACTTCCGCCAATCAGCGTTGATCATATTCGGCTCTCAAAAAATAGGAAAATGTATCCATATTTCCGTCATTATCGATGGACACGGACCACTTTTGGCAGAGAAATGAGGGATGATATTTCACACAAGTCCACTAAGTTTAATCAAAATCTGATCATTTGTTTATTGAGTTATAGAGTAAAAATAGTGTGAAAAATCGATCCCCGTGTTAACACATAGGGATTTTTTTAATTTCGTGATCTTTGACGTGACATTGAGACCCATGACCCTCCAAACACTAATCACTTCTAAGTATTGTGTCATAGTCCAAATGTATAGCAACTTTCGTCCAAATCCATTCAGCAGTTTTTGAGAAACCTTGCTGACAAACACACACACACACAGGGGTGATAACATAACCTCCGTCCACTTTCGGTGGAGGAGATAATGACCAGTTATGATGTATTGGGGGTGCAGAAGACAATCTAACTTTTTGTCTTAGTGAAGCAAGTCCTCAATGAGAAATAGTTACTCTCCCACTGTTCCCAGTTCCAGTCACCTATGTTTCAGTATGTTTCCTTCTGGGGGATAAGCTAATGACGAGAGCAGCGGCTCAGGATATTTCTCTATGAATGACACGCAATTGACATTCAGTTTTTATGTTTATTTTGATAATCGAAATTTCGACTAATCGCTCAGCACTATTGACCAGCTGTCTTCCTTCTAGCCGATCAGTTCAAAATTAGGGACGACTAGCGTAGAAAAAGCTCTTGTTTAACTTTGCGCAGATTTCCTGAACAACCAACCAACTGGTCGGTGGTGTCTTCATATTACAACTAACCAACTGGTCGGTAGTGCCTTCACATTACAACTAACCAACTGGTCGGTAGTGTCTTCATATTCCAACTAACCAACTGGTCGGTAGTGCCTTCATATTCCAACTAACCAACTGGTCGGTAGTGTCTTCATATTCCAACTAACCAACTGGTCGGTAGTGCCTTCATATTACAACTAACCAACTGGTCGGTAGTGCCTTCATATTACAACTAACCAACTGGTCGGTAGTGTCTTCATATTACAACTAACCAACTGGTCGGCAGTGTCTTCATATTACAACTAACCAACTGGTCGGTAGTGCCTTCATATTTCAACCAACCAGCTGATCGGCAGTATTTTCATAATAGGTTCCAAAGTTTTTAACCGTTTTTAATTTCTGATACGATATCCAAACAGTTACTTCAGCCGATATCACAGTCTGAAATATGTTACACTTAAATGTGATCCAATATTCCCCCTTGGCAATAAAAATGTAGAGAATATTTTTCTACAGGAGGTATGCTCCTAGTCTCACTTGAAAGTCCCCCCTCCCCCCGATGGTTTGGTGGTAAGCTTGAGGACTGATAACGCTTAAATTCGAGGTTCAGCGCCTGCTTATTGAGCAGCTCATCGTTCAAATAAACACATTCACCTTAGAACATGAGAGATTTATCAAAGCTCGGTTTTCTTTTTCTTAGTCTATTTCTAGTTTTGTTTAACGTAAACAGATACCTCTCAAACATTCTTTCAAAATATCTACGGCCAGGTGGTTAGGGCGCTCGACTCATAATCTGCTGGTCGCGGGTCCTAATATCCGTCCCACCAAACATGCTCCCCCTTTCAGCCGTGGGGGCGTTATAAT